TAAAAAGTCTGGAAACAACAGATGCTAGTGAGGATGCAGAGAAATAGATACACTTTTACACTGTTGGTTGGAGTGTAAATTAGTTCAACCATGTGGAAGACAGTGTGGTGATTCCTCAAGGGTCTAGAACCAGAAATGCCATTTGACCCAGCAATCCTATTACTGGGTATATACCCAAAGGATTACGAATCATTGTACTATAAAGACACATGCACAGGTATGTTTATTGCAACAGTATACAATAGTCAAGACTTGGAACCAACCCAAATGCCCATCAATGATAGACTGGATAAAGAAAATGTGGCACATAAACACCATGGAATGCTATGCAGCCATAAAAAAGAATGAGTTCATGTCCTTTGCAGGGACATGGATGAAGTTGGAAACGATCATCCTTGGCAAACTAACACAGGAACAGAAAACCAAACACTACATGTTCTCACTCATAAGTGGGAGTTGAACAATGAAAACATATGGACACAGGGAGGGGAACATCACACATTGGGGACTATCAGGGGGTGGGGGGTAAGGGGAAGGAGAGCATTAGGACAAATACCTAATGCATATGGGACTTAAAACCTAGATGATGGGTTGATGGGTCAGCAAACCACCATGGCACATGCATATCTATGTAACAAACCTGCACATCCAGCACATGTATCCCAGAACTTAAAGTAAAATAAATAAACTAAAATAATTAAAAGAGTAAAAAAAAAAAAAGCATTAATGAAATGTTCGGCTAGACATGGCCAATGGATTTAGAATTAGCCCAGTCTTGCCATAACTTTCTGCAGGTTTGTTACATTAGGTATACATATAAATGTAAAACTTTTACAAATTCAAATAATTAAAAAATGATGTTTTTAATCTGTACTCAGGAATAGACAGACATATGTTTTATATAAAGAGAGTCTATTTCAACATGGCAAAACCCCATTTCTACTAAAATTACAAAAATTAACTGGGCATGGTGACGTGTGCCTGTGGTCCTTGCTTCTCAGGAGGCTGAGATGGGAAGATCACTTGAGGCCAGGGGACAGAGGTTACAGTGAGCTATGATTGTGCCACTGCCCTCCAGCCTGGGTGACAGAGCAAGACCCTGTCTCAAAATAAAAAGTAAAATAAAAATAAAATAAAATAAAAAACAAAGTACAGCTGGATGCAGTGACTCATACCTGTAATCCCAGCGCTTTGGGAGGTTGAGGCAGGAGGATCATTTGAGGCCAGGAGTTCAAGACCAGCCTGGGCAACACAGAGAGACCACATCTCTACAAAACACACACCCAAAATTAGCCAGCTTGGTGGCACACGCCTGTATTCCCAGGTACTCAGGAGGCCTTAAGTGAGAGGATTCTTTGAGCCATCACATACAATTTGCAGCCAGGTGGAAGACATTACAGGCTTCAAAGCCTCCATTAACTCAATGAACCCCTTCCCCAGCACACGAACACATACACAAAGACTTACCACCACATCACTTGCCTATGGGAGCCAGCATTTCTCCTTGGAGTTAGCAAGGGATGAGCTTTTCATTGTCACTGTGGCTTCTCAGTTTATGCAAGTCAACACATTTGGACAAGGACTGAAACCAGGATGGAATCCATCCTACCTCCCTCTTTATAATGGTGGCATTTAAAAAAGTATTTTGTACAGACAGGATCTAGCTATGTTGGCCAGGGTGGTCTCAAACTCCTGGCCTCAAGTAATTCTCCCATCCCTGCCTCCCAAAGTGCTGGGATTTCAGGCATGAGCTACTGTGCCTGCTTAAATCAATGCCATTTTTAAGATGATGTGCACTTAAAGAAAGGGTGTATTTGGTAGGCAAAATAAGCACCCTCCAAAGATGTCCAGGAACTCATCCCTGAAACCTGTGAACATGTGAGATGACAAGGCAAGGGAGGAAATGAGTTGGATGGTGCCAATGACAGGTACCAATCAGGTGATCTGAAACATGGGTATTATCCTGGGTTATCTCTGCGGGAGTCCAGTGGAATCCCAGGAGTCTTTCTAAGTGTAGGAGAGAGGCAGGAGAAAGGAACCAGAGAGACAGCGACATGAGAAGGATCCCCCAAAATGCTGGCTTTTAAGATGAAGAAAGAGGCCATGAGACAAGGGATGGAGGGAGCTTTCCAAATCTGAAAAACAAAAGAAAACAGCTCCTCCCTTACCACCCTGAGAAGGGACACTGCCCACTGACATCTTGAGTTGTAACCCAAAGACACTCATCCCAGACTTTACATGAAACTACAGAACTGCAAGGTAATAAATGTATGTTTTTATTTTTAATTCTAAACATTTCACTAACTTATTTTAATTGGCAAATTTAAATGGTATACAGCATCTACAACAGGTTGCTTTGAAATATGTATACACTGTTAAATAACTACATTGAGCTAGTTGACATCTGCGTTACTTCACCTAAGTATAATTTTCTTTGTGGTGAGAACTCTTAAAATCTACCCATTAAGCAATCTTTAGAAATATAATCCTATCATTAGCTATCATCAGCTATCATCATGTTTTACAATTGAGCTCTTGAACTTACTCCTCCTGTCTAAGTGAAATCTTTTACGCTTTGGTCAACATCTCCCCAACCTCCCACCTCCCCCAGCTCCTGGAAACCACAACTCTATTCTTTGTTTCCGTGAGTTCAACTGTTTTAGATTCCACATCACAGTGAGATAATGAAGCCAGGCTCAGTGGCTCACGCCTGGAATCCCAGCAATTTGGGAAGCCAAGGCAGGAGGATCACTTGAGGCCAGGAATTTCAGACCGGCCTGGGCAATATAGGGAGACTTCATCTCTAGAAAGAATATATATACATTCTAGCTGGGCGTGGTGCACACACCTGTGTTACCAGCCACCCTGAAGGCTGGAGTGGGAGGATCACTTCAGCCCAAAAGGTTAAGGTTGTCGTGAACTATGATCACACCACTGCACTCTGGCTGGGCCAGAGCAAGACCTTGTCTCTAAAAAATATGTGACTTTGAGTACACAGTTACTCACTTGAAGTAGTAAGGGGTGACACAAATATCAACTGTTCCATCACTAAGTACATTGTGGCCTCTTTCTTGTCTTTCCACTATAAATAGTCAGCCCAGTATGTACAACAGAACTCTCACGTGGACCTCTGCAGTCCTTTTTTGCTTCTGTAACTACTGAAAGAGATCTCAAATAAGGATCGTCTTAGAAGCTTGAAGTAGTACTTAGCAGTACCAACACACGCTTTGGGTAAAAGGAAAATCCTTTACAAAAATGCAAACTTTAGGAATTAAATGCTCACCACAGGGACTCATTTATTCCTGTATAAGCGATTGCAGGCAGAAAAACAAAATCTGAATGAACATTTTTTTTCTTAACCTTGGAAAACCTAGAAAAGATAAGAGTGGTATATAGGGACCAATAAAATAAAAAGCACAAGGAAAAATAAGAGGAAGTCGCTCCTCTCCTCCCAATTATTGTGTTTTGAATGATTCATGAATGGAATTTCAGAAACTCAGCAAAAGAATACATTTAATTGACTTACTCCAAATATATTCTGAATTTCATATTTACTAAATAGTTTCCAAATGAACATTTCTTTTTTTACATGTTGTTACATGTAAAAATCCTTTTACATGCACATCTTTTTAACACTTTGCAACATGAAAAAAATCTTTTTAACATGTTGTTGTATGTTATTATATGTGAAAACTGCATATTAAAAAAAGGAAAGGTAGGCGAATTCATCATCCAGGTTTTTAGTTGCACCTATAAACTTCCACATAATCCACGAATATTAAACTGGGAAAAGACAGCACTCTACATAATTTACCTTGCCACAGATGTGAAATAATTGTAAGCATATGTAAATGTTAACAAAATACTTTCATTCAATGCTAAGGGGAGGTATCATTGAATGGTGGACCAAAACTATGTGACATTTTGATGTCTTTGAGGAAATGACATACCCACAAACCAGTGGCTCAACACTGATATTAATATATTTTGCTCAGTTGCCTTAATCATTTACAGTAGTTTAATTTTTTCAAGAACATAGATATTAAGGTATTTTTAATAATTTTGATAAGACCATAGAATATATATATTTTTTGAAGTCATACTTTCATTGGAATTACTTCTTTCTCCTAATGAGTAAATACGAAAGAACGCGCAGATAAGATAGGTTTTGTTGTCATCTTCTTTTTTTTTGAGACAGAGTCTTGCTCTTGCTGCCCAGGCTGGAGTGCAGTGGCATAATCTTGGCTCACTGCAACCTCTGCCCTCCTGGGTTCAAGCAATCCTCCTGCTTCAGCCTCCCTGGTAGCCGGGACTACAGGTGTGTGTCACCACATCTGGCTAATTTTTGCATTTTTAGTAGAGATGGGGTTTCACCATGTTGGCCAGGCTGGTCTTGTACTCCTGACCTCAAGTGACCCACCCGCCTTGGTCTCCTAAAGTGTTGGGATTGCAGGCATCAGCTACTGCACCCGGCCGGTTTTGTCATCTTTTATCAGAAAAATCTGTACTTTTCCATGCCCATGCTTTCTACATTTTTGGAACTGATAAATATGCACAGAGGTCAAACCTACATTTAAATTATCTTTAATGTTAAAATTTAATTAACCATGTACATAACTGCACAAATGCTGTTTTCTCACAGAAGTGTCTAGGGTTCATTCAACAGATCATAGAAACGAGGTCTGGCCTTTTACAGACAAATGACAGAAGAGCTATACTAATTTATACAAGAATTTTCAAAACACTGTTATGTAGTTTACTATAGCTCAAGTTATGCTTGTATCATATAACATAGGTTCAAGTTCTTTCTTCAGTCATCAGAATAACAGAGGTTGAAGAGACAACTAAGCAACTGCCAACTCTTCCAAAATCTGTTTAAAAAAAAAATTTAAGTAACTGTGATATACATTTCTGCAAATAAAATATTCCAGTGCTTACATAAATCCTGAGTTTTTAATATTAAATGTGTACTACTTACAGTTCTGACACAATTTTATTTAAAAACATGGCTAGTTATCAAGTTCACTTTCTTCATCAGACAAAATGCCGTAATAACTGTTTTCAGACTCCTTGGTAGCCTAGAAGAAAAAGTGTAGTTCACTGACAAACCACAACTTTATATCTCAAGTTTTAAACAGGGTTAATCAAATGTTAAGAGGAAACAGCTTATAATATTCAAAGGATGCTGGTTATTTATTTCAAATAGAAAAAAACTGTAATCAATACATGGAGCTCCAAATATCCACTTAAATTTTTTAATGCCAGATTTCAGTGAAGACAATTTTAGCCAGTCCAACAGTCATGGTCTTTGCTTGAATAAAATGGCTTGAAGAATTTCTTAAGATCAAGATGGAGCAAAGACAGAAAAAGCCGGGCAGTCTTATATCATGAAACATATTTTTTTCCGCAGGTAGTGACCCATTTATTATCAGCAGTAGACTATACAACGTGGTTTCCACTGAAGAGATAAAATGGTTGGTGATGTGACCTCATCAAGTTAGAGGAAACGTAACTATGTTTGAAATATATAGTCTTTACTCAACAAATAGTTCAACAGTCCCTACTCCCTAAAATGTCGTATGTTAATGCTGAGGAAGAAGTAAAAAATGTATAATCTCTTGCATATTCCTGTGACATGAGCAAATGCATGAATTAAAAAAAAGTAATACAAAAGTTGTGCAACTGCTATGGAAGGGCAACTCACTCGGACATGTAGTCAAAGACGGAGACTGACATCGGCTTAGTTGACAAAAGGTTTCAATTGGTCAAAAAAAGGAAAAAAAAATTAAAAGCATTGTGAGGGAAGAGCAAAACATAGGAGCAACTGTGAGTTCCTTCAGGGAAGGCTGTCCACCTGGAGAGGTGGGAGCAAAGACAGAGGGCAGCAAAACAAGCCTAAGAGGGGGTCATGTAAAGGGGAGAGTCTCTGAATATCTAAGAACTGAGACATGGGTACCACTGACAGGCTGGGAGGAGGGAAGGGCTAGGAAGCATTTTAGGAAGGGAAGGGTTTTAGGAAGATAATATTGCTGATCAATGAAGGATGGCTCAGAATAGAAGAGAGAACTCAGAGAAGAGTTTAATAGTATGGGCAAGGAATAATGAGGTCTTGAACTAGCGCAGCCTCCGTGGGAATTTAAAGAAAGACATTTAAGGACCATTGCAGAGGTGAAACTTGCCTTGTGATAACTGGATGGGAAGGATAATGGACTCAGAAGAGTCCAAGATGATAGCAAAGTTCCTACCCTAAGTGGTAACATGTGGCATTAATGTTGACAGGAAAACTTTTCTAGTCTCATGTTCGTAACAATTAATAAATGGTTTCTGGGGAACATTGTAGCAACATGTTCTCTACTTGTGACTTCTATTTAAATAACTGTGTATAGATCATCCTCAAGTTGCTTGAAAATTTTATTTTCAAATTCTTTTCTGTTTACTTACCATATCTCAGTGTAGAAGAGTGACATATGAATGTGTATTTTCACAAGGTTATTAAAAATACCTTACTTCCCTAAAAATAATTGCATTGTTTCCTAAATTATATACATCTACATGAAGAAGAGGTCATTATCTGATGACAATTTGCCAATGTGCTGTACCGCAGCAGAGAATTCCAATTCACAACGTGTTAATAATCCACTGGCTTTCCCATTCTGAACCATCTGAACCATATCTTACGATTACAAATTGTCATGTAAAACCATTACTAGTCATTAATAATTTTGAAAGTGAATATGCCATAAAACACTCCTGTATTACAGCAGGAAACAAAAGAGACACTCAGTAGTTACATTTGCCTACTTCCTATTTAACTAAAACTCTTGAAACAGCACAAGCATGAAAGACATCCAGAAAGGATTTATGGACTTCTTGCCTTCCACCATAGATTTGTCACTGATGTTCTGAAAACTGAACTAAAACCTTCATTAAAACCCATTTATGCCTATTGTTCCATTATTGGTAAGCTAAACTTGCGGGAATCATGTATATCCTACCGCTCAAGGTCATAACCAAGATACGATTTTTCACACACACGAAATTTGCAGCCTCCAGCATAAATGGGTGAATGTGGTCATAAAGTGTCAGTTTTATATACAAGATATGTATTTCCAGGTAAAATTTCCAATTTACCTTTTCCTGTTCTAAATAACTCCCACAAAACTATTCATTAATCCTAAAAATACATTTACTAGTTACGTTAAATTTGGAACAATACATTCAAAGTGAAAATGGTAAGTAATTTAAAATGTATAACCAAAATATCTTTCCATACATTCAGAAACAAGCAGACTTTCTTCTATTATGCACGTGTTGAATTTTATAATGTATCATGCTACCAAATAGAACAGACCTTTAGGAATTGCTCATGTAGCTGCTTCATCTCTTTTAGTCTCTTTATCCTAACACTTCTATATTCTTGCCACTTCTTCTGTTGTTGTTGAAATGTTTTCTAGAAGCACAAAACAAAGTAGTGACAAAAATTGGGTAAATTTTAATACCTACAAAACATAATTCTGCATTAGCTTTAAAGGGATACTCTTTAAATCTAAACTTCTTAACACTTTCTTTTAAACATTTAATGATATAATAACCTTTTTCATCAGTTACTGAGTAAAGAATTTTCTTTATTATACATATTCAACACATATGTCTTAATTCTTGATTTCAAATGAAGAGTATTTGATGACTCTTGCTATAATTTGTTGACCACAGGTAAGAGCTATACAGAAGTTAAGAAACATTCTTTCTTACTAAGATTTTAAACATGTACTAAATCTTGGTCATTTCAGTATGCACATAAATAGATGAACCTTCCAATAATGATTGGCTTTCTGCACCTTGATCTAACATCCAACTACAGCCTTCTTTCCTCTACATGGCACTCACTCGCACAGTCATCCCCTAGATTTTGTCATTCCCAATGACTTTAACAGGTATGTAATATTAAGAATAGCAATAATAAAGAGCAATCATGGGTCAGATTATATCCTGAAAAATTTAAATAAACCCATTACACAGGAACCCTTTAATCCTCCAAAGGACTCTGAAGTAAGTACTCTTATCATGTCTCCTTTCATAGATAAGGAAACTGAGGCACAGAGATACTTTGCCCATGGTTTCTGAGCTAGCAATGGTCAAACTGGAGTTGGATCCCAAACAATGTGGTTCCAGAATCTTACCCCTTGACCACTGCACTCAGCTGTTTCTCCATCTTCCCAACATACAGCCACTACCTCCCTGCCACTGTGGGTCACTTTTTTCAGTACTACAGCTCAGGAGTCTGATGGGACCTGACACCCATTGAATGGAACACTTTTCACTGACCAATGCCCCATCCCCATGTGCTCAGGTTACTCAGTCCTAGCTGAAATTCCACAGCCAGTCATCACAACCCCATCCCTGTGTCTATGCCCTGTCCAACTCTCCCTCTATCAATGTGCTCAGCTACACCCCAACCCAGGAAATTCCAACCCTATAGCTGCTCTTGCACAAGTATGCCAATTGGGGTCACTTTAACTTCTTAATCCTATGATGCTGACCACAATTGGACCCCTAATGCTGCGTGACAATTATATTTCTCTAGTCCAGCAGTCCACTAATGGGTCCCCCTCTCGGGGTTTATGTTCTCTCCCTTCTTTTCTGGATTTCTGCATGAATTATTCCTATCTGAGACATTAATACAACAGGTTAATCACAAAGCTAAGCCTGATACCAACAATTATATCTTGTTCTTCTTCTTCTTCTTCTTCTTCTTCTTGTTCTTCTTCTTCTTCTTCTACTTCTTCTGCTTCTTTTTCTTTTTCTTCTTCTTTTTCTTCTTCTTCTTCTTCTTCTTCTTCTTCTGCTTCTGCTTCTTTTGCTGTTTCTTCTGCTGCTTCTTCTGCTGCTTCTTCTACTGTTTCTTCTGTTTCTTCTTCTGCTTCTTCTGCTTCTTGTTCTGTTTCTTCTTGTTCCATTTCTGCTTCTGCTTCTGCTGTTTTTTCTCCTTCTTCTTCTGCTGCTTCTTCTGCTGCTGCTTCTGCTTCTGCTTCTGTTTCTTCATCATGATCTTGCTGCTCATCTGCAATGTATTCTTCAAGGACATGCAGCAACTTCAGAGTATGTCTATAATCACGTTTCTGCCTATAACACATAATAAGTAATACTATCATATGTCATAGAGAGATGAAAAATTAATCCTTTTCAAGTCAAAACTGACTTGATATAATTTATACTATAAAGTAGCAAGGGAGTAATAGCAGCTGAAATCTTGTTTTTGGGAAAAGGTGAAATGAGTTATTCTCATTCTGAAAGGGTTCTTTCCTTCCTAACTACTAGAGCAGCTATCTCACATTCTTTACATGCTGAAGACAAAGGAAGATTTACTGAACTATAAATTTCCTAGAAACATTCATTTTCTCGAAGAGCAGTTTACTTTTCATTTCCTCTTACTAAATAGCATAAGGGTTCTCGTAAGTAGGTTCAAGAATATCATAGCCATTCATCCTGTAAGATTTCCCAAAAGAAATACTTCACTTAACTATTTCTCCACTTTGGCACAACAGTGATTTTCTAAAAGGAATAGTGAAAACTATTTAACTAAAATAGATAGCTTATTTACAATATAAGGTTATCCCTTTCTACATAACTGAATATCATTAAGGATCTCCAGACTAAACGTTGAAGACATGCATCTTATATTTAGTTAATGTATTTCTAAAAATGGATAAAAATTAATTTTACAAGAAGACTAATTTTTATCTAGAAGGCAAAAAGAGGTCATCTTCATTGACTTCTAGGTAATATCTCTCAATTCTGTTAAACCGAGGCTATAAAACTAAAGAAACTTACCTGCTTGGGGAACAGTCAAGTAAAATATGTTGTTCACTAGAGATGCCAATATGTACAGGATAGTTTTGAAATTATTTGTGCCAACAAACACAAAGAAAAGATATAAATATCATTATGCAAACAGCCAACAACCATACCTTTTTAGTTGTTTTTTTCTCAAAGCACGTTCAATTGTGTTTGTTATTTTCCTGTAAGCTGCTTTATCCATTTTAATAATTTTTTTTCTTGCACCAAGATTCTCTCTAATGTCAGCTAGATAGTAAATGAAAGTGCATTAAATGTTAATGCTGAAAAGTAGTTTCTTTGCATATATTGAAATCAGTATGGGACAGGATGTTTCAGCAATATCTAATGGACATTTAAATTGTAAAATGCAAAGATCATTTCAAAAAGCAAGATTTACTCACTCATTTTCTGTAAAACATTTCAGGTATTAATATTAGTATTCCGATTCCAATTGTTATAACTGCAAATCACTTAATTGATGGATGATGAAGAAAAGCAAATAATTAAAACAGTTTCTATTTTTTAAATGTGCAGAAAGGGTTACAAACACAGACTCTATTTTCTAAATTTATAAAATGTCCTACAATTCAAAGGACATGTTTCCATGAAATACTGTCAAAATTCATTATGTAAAGCACAAAAAATTATCTTATTTAATAAGACCATCAAAAGGATAGAAATAATACACAATAAGAAAAGTATTTTTAAGCAAATTAACTGTATTTTGATAAAAGAAGCAACATTTGTAGGTATAAAAATTTAGGTTTAAGTAAAGAAATACATTCAAAATGACTTTTGAAATATTTTCTGGGAGCTTTTCATATGACATTTTTATCCATAGTGCTGTTTTTCAGGAAAATGTAATACTACAAGGAATGCTTTCCTAAACTTGGTTTCACATCAGAGATCTACCATCCATTGCTAAGAATAGTTTTCAGCAGTCATAAAAGATCTGTGCCATAATAAAAATATTTTTTACGTAGTCTACATCTATAATGCTCAGTTAGGCAGCTCACAAAATGAGCAGTTAGTCACCAAGCACAGCAAAGCTTTCCAAATATACTGCTTGTATGAATTATCACTATAGAAGAGCTGAAAACTGAATTAAGCTTTTTAAAAATAAGAGTATTGTCTCCATCATTTCTACAGAAATTTTCTCAAACTTGTTTTGAAAATATGGTCTGATAACAGTCAGTGCAACTAATATTTCATATGGCAATACAAAATGTATGAGTTTTTGGATCTAATTACGTGTTTCTCGCTGGGTAGAAAAGTCGTCTTTCCTTTTCTACTACACAGTTTATTACTGGAATAATAATAGAAAATCATCATTTTAGAGAATTCAATTTTCTCTGGTACATCGGAAAGCTGTGACAATAGAAAAGCTGAATTAGGAAGATGAAAAACTCATATTAAAAACTCTGAGCACATAGGGACAGGAAGAGGGGAACAACAGACACTTGGTCCTACTTGAAGGTGGAGGGTAGGAGGAGGGTGAAGATGAAAACCACCCATCAGGTACTATACTTATGTCTTGAGTGACAAAACCCTGTGATATGCAGTTTATTTATATAATAAAAACTGCACATGTACCCCCAAACCTAGAATAAAAGCTGAAAGAACTGATATATGACTTAATCTGTGTATGCTAAAAGGAACAAATAGAGCTGTTTCTCCTCCAGTGTCCTCTAATATCCCCTAAACAATTAAATTTCCACGTGTATGAAAGAAAAGCCATCCCTTTTGCTTCATTATTGTTAGAGGTATTCTCACATTCCACATCCACAACCAAAAGGTAAGAAGAATTTATCAAACACATTATGTTAAATACGTATGTTAAATGCTATATCTGAGAAGAAGGCATGTAAGACAGTCTGTCATCCACTAATTCACATAACCTACTGTAACAGTTGTATGATTGAAAATAACTTTCAAAACCTATGAATAGCTCCTAAAGCATACCTGCGATATCTTCTAGCTTCTTGGTATCAACCCTGTAAAAAAAGTTACAACAAAATTTTAACATAGGACTACACAAAATGCCGTGTTTGTTGGGAAAAAATGTCTTATGTGAAATGTTCTGCATAGAATAGAACAGTGATGACATGATCCAAAGCTGACTTTTCCTAAAAGACCCTATCCCACAGGCAACAGTGACTTAACACTTTACCCCTTGTATTCATCTGTTTCAGCAAAAGGTTCTCTTTCCCCATGCTCAGCAGTTACGTCTTCCTCCTTTGTTTCTGTAAAACTGTTTCTTTCCTCAAGTTCATCAATTACTGGATCCTTTCCTGCATCAAAATTTAAAAGACAAATCTTTTTTAGAGGAAGATGCTGTTGTGGACATTTTTCACGGAGAAACGTACCATTTGCGTACTTTTTTTTGGCTGTCTGCCAACTAAAGCTTTAAAGCAGGGCTATACTTGGAATACTGGCTCCTGACCATTTAATGGAAGCACTTTTGGAAGCCCTTCGGGTTCAAGTCCCAGTAAACTACACACTACAGGTCAGACCCCTTGGACGTCAGGACCTCAGCCATAGAGAAGAGCTACTCTGAGAGCACCTGTAACCCTGCCTGAGGTGGAGCCTCCCGAGGGAAGTCTAAGGCCCTCGAGCCTGCTTTGAAAACCGGGATATCTTAGCACGTGCACAGTGGACTCCAAAGCCATGAAGGGGCTGGGGGCCTCGGGTTGCCAGTGTGACCCCGAGCAGAGAACAGACAGACGTCTCCTTGGGCGTGCACCCTTCTTCCGGCTCCCCTTGGGTTGTGTTTACCTGCATGCTCCTTGTCCTGGGAGGCCACACCTTGAGCCTCCAACTGGGCCTTGGCAGCCCTCCTGCTGCGCTTCCTGCTGACGGGTGCCATGGCTGGCCGTCCTGGGAAGCTAGAGGCGACCCCTGAACCTGGTGAGCGCAAAGACAACTAAGGAAGCTAAGGAAAGCCATCGGGATCGCGGGTTCAAGATGGGTGGGGCTGGCCCTCCCCGAGTCTCCTGTGGGAGCAGGAGGGGACGGAGAAGATGCCAGTGTCCCCTCTCGTCCTGGCCCCTGCAGCCCGTCCCCGGGGGTGGCTCTGCCTCGCATACCTGCCTCTGGTTCCGCCAGAGACATGTGTGGCCCGGAGGACTGCGGGTGACACAGGATCTCCCCAGCCGTCTCCAGGGGAATGTCAGGGACTGAATTGCCACTCATCCGTCCGCCTGGATGCCGGGTGGCCCCTGGTGACCCGTGTCCTGTCCTGACGGGAGGCTGGGCTGGAGGATCCCACTCGGGCTGTTCCCAACACCCCCCCAACACCTTCCCTCCTCCGAATCCTCAGCCCTTCCTTCTCTCCTCCCCACAATCCCTGCCCATCCCCTCACCTCACCCCTCCCCTACCCCGCCCCCACCTCTTGCCCCATCCCCAGCCCTCATCTGTCTGCCACTCCCCCACCCTCCCCCCCTGCACCCCCCTTTCCTTCCCCGCAGCCCGCCTCCCTGCACACATGCACAAGCCCCCGGGACACTCCAGGGCCCTGGGGATCACCCAGGCGGCTCCAGCTCCCTCCCTGCCCTGGCCCACCTCAGCCCACGCCCTGACCTAGGCCCCAGGTGATGACGCCAAGGCCATTTCCTCACAGGTCAGCCGGCTGCCCAGCACTTCACAGCCTGGCTCCCAGACGGCCTCATGCCCGCCTTCCCGCCTCCCCACCACAAGCAGCTCATCACCTGAGGGACCCCTCACGTGGCTCGCTCACAGAACCTATAGACACGGACGCCGCGCGACTGTCTTAGAAAATGGGTCCTTAGCTCCTGTGAGAGCAGCCGGTCTGGCTTCCCGCGCTCGTAGCTGATTGGTCAGCTCAGTGCACATGCGGGTGAAGGACTGGGTGGGGCCAACCCCCTGCTGGTGCACCTCCCCCTCTCCCGAAGGACCACTCATGGTTGCTATGGACTGAGGAGGGGGGACTCTTTGAAGCCTCTGTCCCCACAATCTTTTGGGATCTCTGTCCCCACAATCTTTCCGCTTCCTCCTGATGCAAGGACTCGGGATGGAGGCCAAGTTGAAATGGCCGAGGACCTCGTCCCTGGGCTCATTCCAGCTACCCCTGCCCCTTTGGCTGGAATGGCCATCGCCCTGCCGGTGGAGCCCAGGCTCCCTCTCATTCCCTCTGTACTTCCAACATGCCCAGCTGCATCCTTTTAATCAATGGATGGTGTTTTTATGTTTCTTTGTTTGAGATGCAGTTTCTCTCTGACGTCCAGGTTGGAGTGCAGTGGCTCGATCTCGTCTCACTGCAACCTCTACCTCCCGGGTTGAAGCGATTCTCCTGCCTCAGACTCCCAAGGAGTTGGGACTACAAGTGCGTGCCACCATGCCCAGCTAATTTTTGTATTTTTAGTAGAGACAGGGTTTCATCATGTTGGTCAGGCTTGTCTCGAACTCCTGAGGTCAAAGTGATCCACCTGCCTCAGCCTCCCAAAGTTCTGGGATTACAGGTGTGAGCCACCATGCCCGGCTCCAAAGTCATGTTTTTAAACGCTTCAGCTGTATGATGTATAGTTGTTTCCAAGAAATTGTGACTAAACGGTACTGATTGAAAAACTTGTCATTTCTTTATTCAAAAAATGTCAACTGGTTTCCTGCTGGTTCTTTCCACTTAAGTTGGCCATAGAAATCCCAGGGGTGACTCTCGAGTTGTCAAAGACTTTTCTTGTTGCAGTAAGGTTGGCCTGCTGATAGTAACAGATACACCCCACTCATGGTTATTTCAGGATCAAGTAGATCCATTGGCCATGGAGTGATGGTCTTTTCAAGTAAGGCTATATTGAGAGATAATAAAATATTTGCATACTTACTTTATTTCTCATTTGTACTTGCTTGTTTTTTTGTTTTGTTTTGTTTGAGGCAGTCTCCCTCGATCACCAGGCTGGAGTGCAGTAGTGGCACAATCTAGGCTCGCTGCAACCTCTACCTCCTGCATTCAAGCGATTCTTCCTTCTCAGCCTCCCTTGTAGATGGGACTACAAGCGTGTGCCACCATGCCCAGCTAATTTTTGTATTATTAGTAGAGACAAGGTTTCACCATGTTCACCAGGATGGTCTGGATCTCCTGACCTCGTGACCTGCCTGCCTCAGCCTCCCAAACTGCTGGGATTACAGGCGTGAGCCACTGCGCCCAACCTGTACTTGCTTGTTTTAAAATATGGTTCTGCACTTAAATATTTTTGACAAGATGAACGATAGATCTATGTTTTCACATTACAAAACATACACAAATTATTATTAAGATAAGTCAACAATGACTGTAAGTAGAACATTCTATTTCATTATTAATTTTCATTAGACTTTCAAAACATTTTTCTGTATAACATATTCAGAATATTTTGAATTCAGCAATGCAGTCAGATGTTTCATATAAGTGGCTGGGTGCAGTGGCTCATGCCTGTAATCCCAGCACCTTGGGAGGCTGAGATGGGCAGATCACTTGAGGCCAGAAGTTTGAGAATAGCCTGGCCAGCATGACGAAATCCCGTTTCTACCAAAAATACACACAAAAAATTAGGTGGATGTGGGTGCGCATGCCTGTAATCCCAGATACTTGGGGGGTTGAGGCACGAAAATCACTTGAACCCAGGAGGCAGAAGTTGCGGTGAGCAGAGATCGCGCCACTGCACTCCAGCCTGGGCAACAGAGTGAGATTTTGCCTTAAAATGAAATAAAATAAAATAATAAAATATTAATATCATACAACCTAATTATTTCCTTACTTCGTGTATATATGTTTTTACTTTTTTATTTAAATATTTACTTTGTGCATATTGCTGTGTATTAACCAAGCTTCAGAGCTGTCAGAGCAAACCTCAAAGACTAAGAGCTGACAGTTAAAAAGCCAAGCAAAACAAAACAGCCTGTTTCTCAAGGACTAGGATTTTTAGTACAATTACATTTTCTTGCCCTCTAAATAGCCAGATGCAATGACCCATAGATACAGCCAGTGTAGGAAATATTTCAACCTAACATAGTAGTGTCTAAAGGGGTTAGTAATTGTTATGTTCAATTTGTTTCAGCCATTCGATTGGAATTCTTGTTAATTGGAATTAATGGTAAATGTATGGAATGTCATGTAGTGAAACAAACAATCTATTTAGAGCACACCAAATTTCATGGACAAGAAGTAACAAATGACTTTTTAAAAATCAGTACCAATCAGGTCAGCTGTGGTGGCTCACACCTGTAATCCTAACACTTTGACAGGCCGAGGTGGGAGGATTCCTTGAGGCAAGGAGTTCAAGACCAACCTGGCCAACATAGTGAGACCCCCATCTCTAAAAGAAAAAAAAAAGAAAAGAAAAGGAAAGAAGAACAAAAAAATTAACACCAACAAATACAGTGAGATCAAAGAACACTAGCTACCATCTACTCTTGGTTTAGTAATCTTAAATCCTTGAGAAGGTTGGCATACGTGGAGTCTCTCCAGGAAGACATTTGAGGCAGAAAACTGGAATAGGAGCAGGCAATGTGTCATTTCATCTTCTGAAATGGGAACTTTATTAACTCACATGAGTATAAAGTTGAGAAAGAAGATATTTTTCAGGAGTGTTCAATTAAATGTCATTCTGTTTATCAAAACAGGGAAATGCGGCAGCAGTTTCTAACCATATGGGATTTTTGAAAATATGAGAAGCATGTGATTATGTGTTTAGCTGAATATTATTTAAAATGTATGTAAAATCCTGAGAGGGCTTTTGAACTAAGTTCCTAAAATCATCTTCTGGTGCATCCTATTTGATATGCTGCTGTGCGCATAAAATTATTCCAATAGAAATAAAGCAGAGCCTCAGTGAAACCAACCCAGCCCCCTTTCATGAGCTGCTTCTTGTAATTGTAGATATCCATAATTGTTTATTATGACTGTAATATAACAAAACAAAACCTATAATTTTTTAAAGGAATAGAATAAATGTAAAAACAAAGGTGTTTCATACGACTTACAGAAGATAAATGTATCCTGCAAGCTGAATAATGGTACATCAGCTTGTGCTGTTCTAAATCATCTAAATATCATCAGTGCCTTTCATTACAGCCTCATGCCCAGTGCTTAAAAAATCAGTTCACTTTCAATGAATGTCATTTAGAAACTGCTGATCATCTAAGCCTTGGGAAGTCAAGGACACTCTTATTTCCTTTATACTTACAAGTTTAATTCGATGTTTGCCAAAATAGATATAGGTATAAATTTCACATCAAGATGCTAAGCAGAGCCCCATACAGAATATTTCTGAGTGGGGTTTGTCGAATATAAGATTATTTTTATGACTGAGACATTACAGATGCGATCATCAATGAATAAAAAAATAAATTTTAACAACTTTCTCTTGCATCAAGTTGAAACTCATGTCTCAATAGAGCAAGTTTCAGGAACAGGTGGGATTTCAGGTAACATGGAGAACAGCAGCTCAGATACACTTCTTAAAGGGGGATTCCCCCTTGACGTGAAGCCAGCAACTCACTCCGCATGCAGAACATGCAGCATATTTCCATGCCAGGGAGAGGAAGGTGTGACCTCATTCATTCCCTCATTCAGCCATTCCCTTATTCATTTATCTAATAGTTGTCAAAACTCCTAGTATGTTTTGGGCATGGTACTACATGCTAAGTATATAAAATCGCTTTTCTAAACTCAAAAAGTTGTAAGTAGGTGGTAGCAGTGGTCAGGGTAAAATATATTTGTGAAAGGAAGAAATTTCAGTGACAGGTGCTACAATAGATGGTAAGTGATATAGAAGCCACAGGGAAAAAGGACAGATTATTTATAGCGTAGATAGGGAAGACTTTACAATGGGAGAAAGTATCTGAGATTAGTTTAAAAGGATAAGGACAAAAAGTTACTCCAGTGGAAAATGGGGACAAAAACTAGAAAAATGGGGCATTTTAGTTTGGGAGTCATAAAAGGTGGAGTATACTTGGAAAAAATAAGTTTTCTGTAGGACTGTAAGAGATGTCAGGGTCTGTGTGAGTTATAGGTTCAGGAGATAAAGTTGAAGATATTTAGGTACAATATCATGTGGTATATTATAAACCAAGAGAGAATATAGATTTTACTTTTTCAGGTCAGTGGTTCTCAATTGGAGGCAACTTTGTGCCCCGTCCCTGGGATATTTGGCAAGGTCTATATTTTGCTGGTACAACTGGGGAGGGGGGCAGGCTA